GTTTTCACGTAACATTTTAGAGCTTGTCCTCTCCGAGCTGCTCGGACAGACTCTGAAACGAGTGGACAGAATCTGTCTGATGCTGCGCACGAGAAGACGGCGCTAACCTCTGAAGCAGAAAGACAGAAAAGGAGACGGTGCATTAAAATTTTAATGACGTAAAAAGGTGAAAAGGACAAAACGATCCCACTCTGTGACGCAAAACCTCGGTTTGGATAATGTGGAGGGGAACGTCGTTCTAATCCACTGCATGACATCACCGCGAACAAACGAGTTAAAAAGTTCATTTTCTTATCAGCAGCGCTGCAGAGAAGAGCCGACCTCCTGAGAGCTGCAGTGACTCTGTTGAACCACGAAGACTGTCCCAGGTGGAACAATGATTCTAAAATAACCATAGTTTTATAAAGTGGAACGTTTAGACCTGCAATAGTTCATCTTGACAGTCGTTAATTAATTATTCATAATTCGATACGTCATGATGCCACGCCTTCGATGGAGTTCAGTTTCTCAGATGTTTGCAGAGATGAGGCTTGAAAGCACCAAGAGTCTGATTCACGGTCCACTCTGCACCTGAGGAGCAGCTGGCTGCTCACATCAGGCCGATGCACGTCCGATCCAGCACAAGTGGTTCAGCGTCTCCAGCTGAGATGTTTGGTTTTCTTATGGTGTCCCAGAAGTCCTAGAAATCTCCATATCTATAAAAAGAAAATCACGACACAGTAAATACGGATGTTATTAACTTTTAAAAGACAGGACCATAAAGCTGTTTGTTATTGCGCACGTACGAACAGTGAGAGGCAACGTGTGTGTGCACATTCATTTGTCTGAACCACTGGACAGACTTTAACTCTTGGAAACTAATAAATGAATGTACTTATAAAACTCGTTAACATTCAAGGGTGGTCCAATTAAAGATGGCTGCCATCAAACACATAACCAGCTCTATTTTTTTACAAACACTGAGCTAAATTTGGTGTTGTAGCTGTGAGTCATCCTCGGCACATTCTCTGAGCTGAAAATGTGTTCGAGAGCTGTTTTACGGGAGTTTTGCAGCGTGTGTGACTCACTCTGCGTCGTCAGCTGTGGGTGTGTTGTAGCTTTGGAACAGCGGCTGCATGAAGAGTCCGAGGGTTCCGACCACACACACCAAGATGAAGATCCAGAGGAACAGACGGTCTATCACCATGGCTACGTACTTCCAGTCCTCGATGATCTGAAAGCGAACCAACAGGTTTAAAACACGACAGGTTGTTAGGATTATAAAGCGTGTGGGTACAGGAAGGTTCATCTATTTTTAAAGTGACAGCTTGTAGAACTCTTGCCCTAGACAGTCAGCTCTTTTATAAATGAGACTTAATGATGAGCAGTGACTCGTCAACAGAATCAGGAAAGATTTTCAGGCATCACAAGGTCAGGAGAGTATTTTTAACCACAAGTGATTGATACCAAGAGAAAGAGTTTAAGTATCTAAAAAAAAACATGTCATTAAAAACAAGTTGAAGTTTAGATATGAGATGCCTGTTTTTATTTTGTCAAGGATTCAAATTATTCCAGATTTCAATTATATAAATATATATATATATATATATATGTATATATATATTAGGGATGCATGATATTATCTGCATGGTATCGGCATCGGCCGATATTGGCATTAAATTTCAATATCGGACATTCCATTAAAATAACTTGCTGATATAAAAAGTGCTGCTTTTACCTGCAGCACAACGTGATGACGTCACGTGCGCCTTCCTGATCTCACAGCGGAGAGGAAAATTCAAAATGTCGGCGGTGTGGAAGTTTTATTTTTCGTTGGTGAGGACGTCGGATTCTGAAGATTTATGGACTACGTTGAGCCTCGCTACATCATCCCCAGTCGGAGATATTTTTCCGACGTAACGTTACTCGAGTTACAAGCCGTCATTTCCGACGTCATTGAGAAGCTAACAGCTGATAGCACGTCTTGTTGGGTGAATTTTACCACGGACAGTTGGACGTCGTGTTAGCCCCGTTAGCATGATTAGTCTTAATGGATAAACAAAAACTTCAATCTTAAAAAGTCTGTCCTTCATGCACAGGAGTGCAGAGGATCCCACACTGCAGCTATAGGAACCTGGAACAAGCCTCCACAAGTGAGACAGCATCGCAGGTGACTAATTCTAATAAATTATATTTAACACTTTTCATTTAATATAAGTTAAAGTACTATGCATATGGCTGTTACTGAATACATGTCACCAGCTCTTACAGCTGTTGCACAATTTTTGTAGCAAATAAGCCTAAATAAGATGCTATGTTCTGACAGAGGAAAGTATAAAATATCGGTATCGGCATCGGTTATCGGCCAAATAAGTTTAACATATCGGATATCGGCCAAAAATCCAATATCATGCATCCCTAATATATATATACATACTTTGTATATATAAATATACACACACACAGTATATGTATGTATGTATGTATGGACAGAAGGACAGACCGTATAAGCTAAACGTTAAATCCATTTCAATCTGTCTAAATGTTGTTTTTAATTAAGCAAAATGCATCAAAGTGCACTTGTTAAAATGCTCTATGTTTCTTTATGTTACTTTACATTTTGCAGAAAATAGATATTGTGTGAAAACATAAAATTAACTGTTAAATGTTTGATGATCTCATTGTTCCTGGTAATCTCACTCAACCTTGCTGGATGTCAGACTTTATCCATCTTTGTCATCTGCTTTAAAATATATTTTCTTTCTATGTTCATTTATGTTCAATAATTTATTAATTTCACTTGTCATCAAATTCCTTTTGTGCTTTTCATCTTCCATCTGTTTCCCGATCTTTAGCTTCTCCTCACTCCTTCATTGTCGTCTTCCATCTTCATGTTCTCGGTGATATATCTCACTCCATCCACCGCCTCCTCCAGCTCCGCATCCCACGGCTCCTGAAAGTCTGAAATCCCACTCCGGCCATCTGGAATTTCAGTCTGTTTCCACCAGCACCTGCGTATGAAGTCTTCATTAACATAGTCTGACTGGACTCCACCCAGTCTGACGTCGGAGCGCTGCCTCTTGTCTGAGCTGCTTGGCACTTTGTTTTTACAGACGGTAGTCCGGCTGGCAAACTTCCGGCACATTTTGGAGGATCCTGGGCGCCTCATGAGGAGCAAAGTGGCGAGGCGGACTAAGAAGAGGTGTTTGACCCAGTCGGGCATGTAGTGGGTGGAAGGGGAGCGATGGTGCACGTTGAGAACGCAGGCGGTGCTTACGATGGAGAACGTGACCAGAACCATGGTGAACATCAAGTATTTACCTTAGAAATAATGAGACACAGAGAAAACAAGACATGAGGCGTATGCATGGAGAAACTTTGCTGGTTATTTGTGTTAAAGTTTCGTCTTTCAGTTTTTTGATGCAGGTCCCAGTATAGACCAGAAAAACAGAGGCATTCATGCAGTTGTCTACAACTGATTAGTTAGGTTTAGGGTTATTGTCATGTGCAAATCAACATAAGGTCAACAATGCAATGAATCGCTGAGGACAAGAACAACCGTCTCAACTCGCCAAAAAAAAACAAGAAGAAATAGCAAAGCATGCAGCAAAAAATACAAAAACAAGGAGTCAAAAGTGAAAAAGAAATGCATCTACAGCAGCATGGTCCTATTAGCAGAGTGGTTCTGTTAGCAGCATGGTTTTGGCATCGACGTGGTCCCGTTAGCAGCATGATAATAATAATGACCGTGGCAACGGACGATGACTGCCCTTCCGAACCACGTCCGGCAAACACTGAACATCCAAGGTTTCCGCCGGAGCCAGACTGTTCCGTAGAGTTCAGTTTGTGCAGATTGATGGAGGATTATAGAGACGGCCGCCATGACAGGCTGGAGCCCGAGGCTGGAAGGGGGCCGGGAACTGAACCATGATGGCACGATGACAAGGCAGCGACACACAAAACTCCAAAAGTGCGCTGCGGTCATACGAGTAGCGTGAGTGTGCAGTGTAGGCACAAAAAAGTCCAAACAAAAACAGGAACAAAAAAAGCGAGTGGCACACGTCATTGTGGATTTCCAATCCAAGATGGCTGCCACAGTTAATTGATCTTAGCGAACATTAAAAATGGCTATAACCCAATCAATTTAGCAGCTGATGAACTAAAATGTGGTGTGGTAGTAGCAGAGACTGATCCCCAACAACCAACAGCACTAACATTTCATTTTGACATGCAAGATGGTGGGTGATATGCATTCCTTCAAGCACTGCCAGGTAAATGTTCATACTGTTTCCATTTTGTAGACATCCGGTTGTGTTTTATCCACCGTCTTTTTCTTTCTGCCAGATTCTGATTGGCTGATTATTCACGGAAGAGTTCTGTTTTGTTCATTATCTCCATCATCAGTCTAGAAGCTCGTTTGTTTGTTTCTTTGTATTCTCAGTATTTTTGTCCCATGATCCGGTTACATGGATTTTTATTTACTCCCTTTTTTATCATTTAGGATCTTTTGGTTCTTTTCGTCTGCCTCAAGGCCTGAACGATGAAACTCTTCTAACATACTCAGGATGTCGATTCGACCTAAACCCTTCTATGCTGATTTTCAACACTAGCACAAGCTTTACTTCAAAATATTACGTTCAAATACTTTTTATATGTACATTTATTAATGTCTTTAGCGCGCAGAGGGATGAGTCGTTCATTTCTTTGAAATTTAACAAGATAACCACGTAAAAACTTTTATTTCTTTGCTCGACATTATAGTAAAAGTGTGTCTCAGTTGAACTTTTACTTTTTAAATTAATTTCAATGATCAAATCAGCTGCATTTCACCTGAGAGGCGCGGCGAAATGAAGCTGATTTGACGGTTGCTCAGGCAGACGACGGTGGCAATCAATGGTAAGCTGATTGTGTCATTAACAGCCACTTTTACCTATTACATGACACAACGGCATGCCATACTTCTTGAGTGCCATCTAGCGGCTGAAAATGGTAGTGTTCAATATTTTCAGTCAGAATGAATGAAAACGGTCATATCTGAGCCAAAAATTGGTTTATAATTATGGGAAAAAAAAACATAAATAAGTCGCTTCGTCGTATAAGTCACAGGACTGTAATTTATGCAAAAAAAAAAAAAAAGTGACTTATAGGGCAAAAAATATGGTAAGTCCAAATAATTTAACATTTGTTTTAAAATAAAAAAGCTAGAGCTGTTTACAAGCCAAGTTCCTAAAAGCATCTTTCCACCTTGCAAATATGGTATTACTTATACAATTAATATTTTTCATTTACTAGCAACTCATCTACTTTTAAAGAAGTTTAAAAATAGTGTAAACCTCAAAGAACTGCTTATTTGGCATTTTTGGATTAAAATATTTGTTACTCTGATGAAATCATCTGTCCATTTAATAAATGGTTCATCTTTTTTGTTGCAAACAAACAAAAAGCATGACTAACCTATGAGAGGCACAGCCAGCGAGGTGGGGGGCACGATCTTTGATATGAGCAGCAGGAACACAGTGAGCGCCAGCAGCACCGAGATGCACAGAGTCATCTTCTCTCTGCAGTCTGACGGCAGGTAGAACACCAGGATGGCTAACGACGTGATCAGCACGCAGGGGATGATCATGTTGATGGTATAAAACAGGGGCTTCCTCTGGATCACAAAGTCATAGGTGATGTCAAGGTAGGTGATGTCGTTGGGGTCTTCGTTTTTGCGTGCCGGCAGTGAAACAATGTCCCACTCCCCGCTTGGTGTGAAGTCATCACGGCTCGCATAGTCGCTGGTGAGGATGAGGTCCAGCTCGGTGTGGTCGTAGGTCCAGGAGCGGAACTTGAGGGTGCAGTTTTGCTGGTCAAAGGGAAAGTTCTGCACCTCGATGGGACAGGCTGACTTGTAGATAGCTGGAGGGAGCCAGAAAATGTCCCCGGTGTTGGACACCACCGCGTTGCAGTAGAAGGAAACCTCGTAAACACCATCAGCACTGTGAGAGGTGTTGAGAAAGTAAAATGTTAGGAATGAACAAAAACTGGAAAAATCTGATTTTTTTAATTGAAAATGCAGCGTGAACGCTGAGTGCTGAATGACTGCAGAAATTTGCTGAAATGTGTGAAAATTTGTAAAGAAGAGTTTATTTTTTATGTTATTTGAAACAGTAGAAAATGAAGAAGACACAAAAGACAGAAAGAGAAATTATAGAAAAATCAAAAAGACATAAAAAGAATGCAAAAGGAGAAAAAAAAGACAAACAGATGCATAGGGAGACGTAAAAAGAACAAACGAAGCATAAAGAAATGTAAAAGATACAAAAAAAAAACACTAACAGAGACAAAAAGACAAAAAGTTTGCATAATTAAACTAAAAAGAAAAATGAAAAGAACAAGCGAAGCAAAATGGAGATACAAAAGACAAAACGAAATTATACGGAGACAAAAGATGCAAAGGACACACAAGGAGTCAGAAATAAAAAACACATAGAGACATAAAAAACATAAGGACACATACAAAGATGAAAAGTATGCATAATGAGAACAAAAGTCAAAAAGGACGCATACGGAGCCATCAACATTTAAAAGGAAACACAAAATGACTAAAAACAGGGTTTACATAATGAGACAAAAAGACAATAGCTGCTTAAGAAGACGTACAAGAATAAAATAATGTTGAAATCTTGACTTCCTGTCAAATTCAGAATAAAACTCTAAATCCTACTTCTAAACTACAAAGCCCTCAACACCCTAGCTTCATCTTATATTGCAGATCTTATTATTCAATATTTTCCTAACAAAGCACTTAGCTCTCAGGCTGCAGGTTTACTTGTAGTTCCTAGAGTTTCCAAAAGCAGAATGGGAAGCAGATCTTTCAGTTCTCAGGCTCCTCTCTTGTGGAACCAACTTCCAGTTTCTGTCCGTGAGGCTGACGCATTGTCCAGTTTGAAGACTGGGATTAAGACTTTCCTTTTTGAGAAATCCTGTAGTTAGGGTTTCCTGAGCTATCCCTTAGTTCTGCTGCTATAGGCTTAGACTGCTGGAGGACAAATTGACCACATTCCCTCTCTCTGCTGCTGTCTTTACTCTACTTGTTTGTATTTATAATTATTTCTATCTTAACATGCTTTTTGTCTTTCCTCCTATAGAAAGTACACCTGGACTATAGAAAGTACACCTGGACTATAGAAAGTACACCTGGACTACAGAAAGTACACCTGGACTATAGAAAGTACACCTGGACTATAGAAAGTACACCTGGACTATAGAAAGTACAGCTGGACTATAGAAAG